GGGTCTTGATTAAGATGTATCTGGGGTTTGGGCCATGAACCCACCGGTGAGATAATCAAATCCACTTTGTCAATTGTAAACATGTTCTTCTTTGCCTTGTTGGGAAACTTCAAAAACTGGGGATTTCACCCGATTCCTTTTCACTGTTGCTGCAAGACTTCATTTGGGTAGAGAAGAAAACAAAGAGGAAGAGGAAGAACTGGGTTTCAGAGAGAGAGAGAGAGAGAGAACACAATTTCAGAGAAAAGTGTTATGTGGGCAATAAGTGGATAATAAAAATGTATTTATAGGTGGTAGTTTTAAAAATTTTGGGGAGGTGTGGTATTTTGACAAAAAATTATAAAATGGATGGCACTCAGGGCCATTTCCCAACTTTTTATCACAAAACATTCATTGAGGTTGACGACACTATAAGGTTGCCTTTGTGCTCATAAGTAGTCCTAGCCATTAGTTTCCATCCAAAAAATCGTTAAATTGTTGATGTAGCACATTTAGATCCAATGATATCATGCCACGTGAATTAAAAAGTGGAAAATGCTAGGCATACCACATTTATATAACACATTGCGTACCACATCTCTAACAAAAGTGAGTCCCATTGTATTCGTGGGCTCCACTTTTATTAGAGAGGTGGTATAAAATGTGGTATATAAATATGGTAAGCCTAACATTACCCTTAAAAAGTATAAGTATGAACATGTGTACGGACAATTTTTTTTATTTATAAAAAAGTATAAATTAACTTCGATAAATTTAACGCTCACCAATATGGGTGGGCATAAAGACCGGAAAACTGGAACACCGATCAGCACATGTGGGGGCAAATATTTTGGCAACCAATCGTGAGACACCAATAGGTCAATAATTGTGCTCCATTTTATTGGTCAATTGTTTAGACTTAAAATATACATAATACCATAAATTAGAGATTTGATCTTTATTAAATCTTTAATTGATTCAATCTCTCCATTTAAAGGAGAGAATAATTCCCTTCCATATGGGAATTAATATCTAAAAAACCCTAGAAACATTTTTTTTCTCTCTCTTACTTCTCTCTCTCTCTCTCTCTCTCTCTCTCTCTCTCTCGCCGCCCCCCACTTTGTCTCTCACACGGCTCCAGCAACACACATGGCTCTGACCACCCGATTCTCTCATACCGTAGAGAAAACTTCAACCTTCTTGGTTATTTTCGTATATTTCTTAAGATCATCTAACTGACTTAGGCATTGAAGGGCTTTTGGCCAACATCCCTTGGGTGTGCTCTATTTACTCTAGTCTATTTTGCAAGGATCGAGAAGGAAGAAAGAGAAGGAAGTTAGAAGGGTGAAAAATCTCTTACAAATATTCTCCCATGAGAAATTTGCACAAACATTTGGTTCTTTCATTGAGAGCATCAAGTTGTACTTAACATGTTGCTCTCGAATCAAAGGAATTTGTTTCCTCCAATTCATCACTCAACCGAAGTCTTCCAAATAACCATGGTTGGAAGCAAGCGTATAAGAAGCAAGACCGCTGCAACGCCACAAGCTTGTTAGAAGCATCCGTGAGTTCCAGCCCAAGTAGATCAAATCTTCATTCAAGGATAGGTCCCAGGACCAATGTGCAAGAGAGGTTGGGCCCACGATTTGATGTTCATGCTTGTTTGGCCTGCAAGAAATTATTTATGCGAGGCTAGGCCCACATAGAGATAAGCCTCACGATCCTTCTCAAGATGTGCGTGAAATAAGACTCTCACCGGCTTGCTTCGAAATAGCCAATTCATGGCGACAAGCCACATGGAATCCCTCGCAAGCTCAGTCCACCAATATGCAGCATAGGGAGGAGAGCCAAAAAGCTAAACCCCTGAGAGTCAATGAAGAGGTCAATCAGTGACGTCCAAGTCATGGGAGACATCGACATGAGCCGCAAGCCTTGCGAGTAGAAGATGTCGAGAAACTTGTGAATGACGGACTCCAAAATCTCAAGGTCGGAAGAGACTTGGAGGATGCCTTGCACAAGGAGGTAAAGCAAGTAAACTCATCTCTATTCACCAATGAGATCGAGCAGGCAGCCCTACCAAGAGAATTCACAACGCCATCTTTCAGGCCATTCAAAGGGGATTCTGATCCATAGAGCCATTGAAAGCATATTAGAAGTCTGAAGATGCTCTGATGTGTAAGGTGTTTGCAATGACCTTGCGAAGAGCAGTTCAAGACTAGTTGCATACCCTACCGTCCGGATCGATTAGCAGCTTTAAGAAGTTGGCCTTAGTCTTCATGAATGAGTATACTTCCCAACAAACGATGAAAAAACAAGCCGACCACCTGTTCAACCTGCATAAGAAGCTCGTTGAATCCATCCGAGACTACATCAAGAGGTTCAAAGTAGAGAAAGCTAACATCAGGGGATGTGATGACCCAATTGCATCCTTAGCTTTCAAGAAAGGCTTGCCAACTAAGCATGGCATGTACCACGAGCTGACTATCGTTCCCAGCCAAACACTGACAAAGGTCTTCAAGATTGCGGATTGCTACGCGCTCTGGTATGGCGATCAAATCGCAGTGAAAAAGGCTGCTAAGTAAGTCGATCAACCCTCCAAGTAGGCAGGTCAAAGAAATGACAAGTTCAATAACAAGAATAGCAAGCACAAAGCCCAACCACATGGAGTATTAGTCAAAGTACATGAAGTTTGAGAAGTATTGGTCAAAATATAGTTTAATTTTTGCAATTACAATTATTTTGGATCCTCGTTAGAAGTTGCATTTTGTGAAGTGGGTTTATACTAAGCTTCATCGTAAGGATTCTCAAGTCTCCAAGTAGGTGAGGCGTCACTCACTTTTCCTTCTTGTTTTCTCACCAAAGCTTGCAGAGGAAAGAATGGGTAAAGGTGCTGGTCAAAAGGTGATTTACTTCCATCAACACATGGGTTTGCTTGATTTTGGTGGTTTTGGCTTCGATTTGGTTTTAACAAAGATGTTGGATATTTACAGGACGTTGGATATTTTATAAGGTGCTGGGTTGGGCTATTTTGTTTCCAGCGGCTTGTGAGTTCCCTTCGTCAAGCTGCTGGAAGCTTTGGCTGATGTGGGATTTTTTCAAGTGTTATGGGCCTTTTCTTAAGGTGATTGACTATTGGGTTTTCTCTCATGCTTACCCATATGTTTGGGCTCAAGGAATGAGCTTGAGTTTTGGTGCTCCCAAGTAGCCCAAAACTTCCACTCCTTGGACCATCAATAGGCCTCGTGAATACTCGTAACCATCCATACCACAACCCCCTCAACAAGCCCCAGAAATTCGTGTGGCTTGGGCCCACTTAAGCTTGTAGCGTGGCGTGTTGCTTATTTGCTTGGCGTGGCACATGTGCAATCGCATATGACGAACTCTTGCGTACCCAAATTGGGTTTCTTCTCAAGTTAGGTGTCGTACTGTGCTAGAAATATATTTGGACCCAACCTTGGATTTTTTGGGCTTCAACAGGTTTCAACTTAGCTTAAGAGGATAGGCTTTTCAAATATAGAATAGGGCTTAGGGAATGCTCTAGCTTGGCCTTCCTTTATCTTTTTGTGCGTGAGCTTATATGGGTAAAGATGGGTAAAGGTGATGAGCAAATGGAAAGGTTGAGGCTTATCTCTTTTATTAGCCTAGATATTTATGTAAACTGAATTTTAAGGGTTTCAGTTTCAATTTAGCAAGGCTAGTCCGGTCTCAAGGGCCGTACTGGAATTTCTCTCTTACTTACCCATGTGTTGGGCTCAAGAAAGTGGACTTGGGTTTTGGTGTTCCCAAGTAGCCCAAAACCTCCACCTTTTGAACTCTTAATGGGCCTTGTGGACCCTCGTATCCATCCACACCACAACCCGTTGAACAAGCCCGAGGCATGTATGTGGCTTGAGTCCACTTAAGCTTGTCGGGTGGTTTGGCACTAAAGGGAGTCGCTTGGCATGGCATGTTATTTGCGTGCTTATGCTTGGGCTACGTTGTATTGCAACGGCTAGGGGCTGTGTTAGATAATGCTTGACGAAGAAGTGGGCTAGGTAAGCTTAAGCATGTGACATTGTTAAACTTTACACGTTTGCATGTGAAATTGGTAAACCCGTATCATGACCTCCCCACATGCCAAATTCTAGTCTCGTTTGGCATGACGCGAATATCAAAGTTTGTTTAGGTACTTCGTAACCGTATTTGATGGGCATCTATGTCCATTTTATAGCACGGTAATGAATTGAGCCTAAAATTATACATGAACCTTCCTTGAGATTTTTTGGGCATCAACAAGAGGGTAGACTACATAATAGCTGACAACCAATAACGCCTATTAGTGTAGAGGTACTCGCCTAATCCCTAGAAATTAGCCCGATTTTTATATTTGTTTCATTCCACATCATTAATAAACTACCATCAATTTTGTGTAAAAAAAAGATGTTAACATGCTTGAAAATAACTAGAAAAAATGACGAATAACAAAAACACCGAACTTAGGTCCAAATTGGGCGAATCCAAATCAAACCAAATTGCACAACAATGATTTGTTTTGTTTTGATTTCTCATGTGATTTTAGTTAAAATCAATACAAATTTATAAATAAACCCAATCCTAGACATGTATTTATAGAAAAACCTAAGCACTATTTAAATATATAAACACACCTAAAATCAACTCCAAAGTCAACTTTTTGGGTGTGTTTATAAATGAATTTTGAGTGTGTGTAATGATGGGTTTTGGGTGTGTTTATATGTTTAAATAGTGCTTGGGTTTTTTTATAATTTAAGCCCCTATTTTGGATGTTTTAGTGAAACTCCCTAAAATCAAACCAAACCGATTCAATATGGTAATTAATTTGACTACAATTTGAGAGTATATTCAATCCAATCCGAACCTTGCTCTCCAATAGCATCGACAGACAGTACACTAAAAAAAAAAAGTCAAAAATCAAAAATCAAAATCAAAATGCTGTCTTTTTATATTTATATATATATATATTTTTATAATTATTATTTATTTCGGAGCAGCTCTCCTGCTGCCTGGTCCTTTAGGAAGAGAGGTTTAAGAGCGACAGAACTAAAACCCACAAAGGTGAAAGCCACGTTGGTTTAATTTAAACCCCTCTCTCTGTCTCTCTGTCTCTCTCTCGCTCTGTAAAATAAGTGACACGAAGATGTTTCTGCGACCAGCAGCAGCTAACCTGATCAAGAGGCGTTTCCGTTTGCCCTCTCGAACTGTCTCTTCAACTTCCGGAGCAACTACCATTCCACTCTCCAGTACGCAACTTTTCATCTTATGAATCTTATGATGTTAATCACCAAAGCAAGTTGACGTTAGCGCATACATAATCAATTTGTAATTAAGGAAGGTGTATTGTTGCTGTTCTTGTTGCAGGCCGTACCAAATTTTCTTATCAATATCATGGTCCTAAAGATTTTAGTTGGAGGATGAATTATAGTCACAGGGACCCTCGTGTATGGCTTTTTCTATCTGGAAATGCAGGTATGTGACATCTCTTACAACCCATTTACTCTTGGAATATAATAAATGATAAATGAGATATGTTATGATTTTAGAGTTGGAATGAGTGTATATGCATGCTTAATCATTATATGCTGATAATTAGCATATGGGTATTTTGAAAAATCCGGTTAGAAGAACCCTCTTTTATGAGCCAATTTAAAAGATGGAATTTTTATTGAAAAAGAGTTTCTACTTCTCTTTTCTATCTCAGATTATCATGCCCCCACCCTTTTTTATTTATTTATTTAATTTTTATGCTTTATCTAGCTTAGTCTACCCATAATCTGATTAATGAAATACTTATTTATCTAATCCATATTCCAAATTTCCTCTGCCTTAGGTTTGAGGTAAATGTAAGATCATGTAGATGACCCCAACTAATAAGCAGTTTGGTTTTATTGAGTTGAGTTGTTTCTGAATTATTTTATTATCCTGGGGTATTAACTGTTTTATATGAATGTGATGTTGTCGAATCAAATTGGGAAACCTGATTTTTAAGTGCTTAAAATAAAGTATTTTATGTTTCAGCACATGCAAAATGTTTGTACTCTTAGCTACTTTATATACACAATTAGTCAGATAATTTTTGCAAGAAATCTAAGGCCATGTGGTGAAGTACCTCAGTATAACTTAGGGTTTGTTTAGAAAGACATAACCATATAACTTATGTTATCAATAGCTATTCTATTATCTTTGCAGCAATTATTCTTGCGATACATTCCAACACTGTCTTAGCAAAAGATGCATCAATTGAATCAAGTCCTGAAAATGACATGGAAGGGGCTGAAGCCATGGGATTACGCAAGATTGAGGACGGCTCTGTCATATCAAATATACATACTTCTAAGTGGAGAGTTTTTACTGATAAAGGGAGGGATTTATTCCTTCAGGAAAGGATTCTATGCCTATGTTCCTTCGTTGGCTTGCTTATTTTGTTTATTTGATAGTGTTTTTATCTTACCAAAATCTTTGGTTTATTTGGTTCCATCTGCTAGGGAAAATTGGAGGAAGCTGAAAAGCTTTTCCTCTTAGCTTTACAAGAAGCTAAAGAAGGTTTTGGGGAGACGGATCCGCATGTTGCATCTGCATGCAACAACCTAGTACGTGCCTTGTTACTGCCTTTATTATCAATTTGTTATTATGGTCGTCCTCCTTAAGGCCATGTGAGAATTGTAGATGACCAAAAAGAGAAGAATATGACTAAACTGTAAATACTAGGACTTAATTGATCCAGAAGCTTGATTTTTGTCGACAACAAAATTTAGGTTCTGGTTGTCATTTCTATCATCAAAGGAACTGTAAGTATTGTATATGCGCTTTTTTTTTCCTTCTTCTTGGGACCCTTGTATGTAATGTCAAGTTATAGTTTTCTGTTGTTATTGTTTCAGGCAGAGCTCTATAGAGTGAATAAGGCATATAATAAAGCAGAGCCATTGTACTTGGACGCCATCAGCGTACTTGAGGAATCATTTGGTCCTGAAGATATACGGTATACTATGGACATTCTGCAGGCTATAGCAGAGAATACTTACACATTAATTATTTAATGATAAAGATAAAATTCCGGTTGACCATATCTTGTGTGTAACATTTGAAAGCACACTAAGTTGCATTTCTATAGCTTCATAGTGTATGATGGCTGCATTTAATTATTTTGTTGGTATAATTTTTTTATTTTTTATTTTTTATTTTTTTCTGTTTTGCAATTAGTTTGATATGAACAGGAATTGAAAAATCAATATTGATTGTATCTAACCTATAAATCAAGAATATGTAAAAATACATGTAGGGCAAGGAGAGGGTCTGAAATGAAAGTTCATTACGTTGTAGTTCTCAGTGCATCTTATAGACCTTCATGTAGGAGTGAGAACATATCATCAAAAGCAGTATTCGTTACAGGATTTTTTAGAACAAATTCAAGGCATTAGGTTGAACATAAACGTAACTTACACAATACTCTACATGTCTTACAGTTTGTGCTTCCACAGCATTAGTTCACATTCATTATTGCTATACTACCTTTGAACATACAAGAGAATTCAAAGTTGTTATGATGATAGGGGGTCATTGATTTCAGGAACGTATGTAAGAACAGTTGAGATATATAATGAGAAATTTTTTCTTTGAAGAAAATCGACCAGTGATTGGACACTAGTGGTCTCAGTCTCTTCTTCAAGTTTTAATCAGTCTGGTGATATCCAATCAGCAATTGAGCTTTGATTTTCATTGTCCAGCTTCTTATGTGGCTTGAAAGTCAATGGTTTAGGAGTTAAAAAACTTAAGAACAGTGGGAAAGCTTATAGAAAACTGTGAATGATTATAATTCTTGGTCTGTTTATTTTATGGGTACCTATATGAACTTAGTCTTAGAATTTTTTCTAACAGCTTTCTAGAGACCTGCTTATGTCTTCTTTGGTGCTAATAGTATGTTAAGTGCTTTGTGATCTTTGGGAATCACTATCTTACTGGAATAAGGAAAAGTTCGTACTTTTCATTAGCAATTATGTTTCCTTTGGTGGAATATTTGGTGCTATGAATTGGAAATGAGGTATTGCCATTGCATTTTGGTGCTGTATGTGTAAGTGCAGTGAGAAACCAGTGGAACATCTATTGCTCCACTGTTTAGTTGCTAGGGATCTATGTTCATATTTCATTCATTGGGTCAATTGGTTTTTGCGTAAAGCAGTCTCAAAGTTTGGTTCTGGATTGGTTGCTTTAGCAAACACTGTTATAGGGAAATTGTAAAACCAATTCCCTTATGCCCGTGTTGTATTTGGAACAAACGAGATGCCAGGATTTTCAACGATAAAGAAAGCTTCCTATAAAAAAGTGCTCAGGGTGACGGATGATGTTCAGATTTGCAACTTTTTCTATCATTGGCTGTTCTTGATGAAGAGTTGTCTTCATCTTTGAGGACTTTATTTATTTTAGATTTTAGTCGAGAGTTTTCTGTGTTCTCTTGTATATTATCCGTTTAATAGAGAAGCCTTGATTCAATATTAACAAATTTATTACTTATCTAAAAGGGGAATAAAAGGAGCAACGTATGTGCCTTTGTATGGGTGCTGTACTGCATATATTTTGATAGAAGGAACTGAAATAAGTATATTTTGTGCTATGGTGCATAACATAAAGTTTGTTTTCTATTTCGTTAGTATTTCTCCTTAATCATGCAAGTCTGACAAAATTAACAATGACAGTAAACTTTGAAAAACGGTCTTCTGGTGTTATAAACGAGGGAACGATCTGACAGGGTTAACATGAGAGAGAATACATGAAACTAAAACTAAAAAAGGAAGCTGTTTGATATTATTTTTTAATTTTTATCTTAGGAATCATTCCAGACACATTTTCTCCTCCCTCTCTCACTTTTATCTTCTCTTTTCTCACCATCCTCTCATTTTTCCTTCTCCATCTTTAATTAAAAATAAAAATAAAAATCCAAAAACAAAAACAATAATGTTACCAACATGACCTAAACGATTATGTTCTCTATGATAAGTCACTAATCACTCATGCAAGATCACTTGTCCACAGAGTTGGGTCTGCCTTTCACAACCTGGGGCAGTTCTATATTGTGCAACGGAAGCTGGAAGAGGCTCGCATTTGCTATGAGGTAATAACTTTAAAATCTTTTATATCCAGTACATGTTTTGTTGTTATGACTATAGGTTCATCAACAGGGTCTATGTGGTCTTTTCTATCCTTTTATGTAATGTTAATATAGTATGTGATTGGTTTGAGGGTCATGCTCGTGATCTAGGGATATGGAGATCTTTGTATGTTTTGGCAGGTTTATCCAGAATTATTCTGACTGGTATTTTTATTGGGGTCACCTAGTATAGATGCATTTGATTATATTTCTGTGTAATAAAATTTGAAGTTATTTGATTTGCATCCTGCATCTCCTCCCAACATACCATCAGCATCATTTCTTAAGCAAGGCATGGATAATGTTTGCATTGATTTGATAATTTTTTCCTATTTGTAACTGCTGATCTTTTGCTGGTTTTCACATTTCTGCCCGATTGATGATACATTTGGACAGCGTGCTTTGAAGGTATTAGCCTGGGCTGTTTTTACATACATGTAGGAGTGTGAGTGTTTATACTGCTAACTCATTGTTGTAATCACCTTTTTCAGATCAAGGCCCGTGTTCTGGGTCTTAATCATACAGATTATGCAGATACTATGTATCATCTTGGAACGGTAGTTTTTTGAATCCTTGCGTGATAATTCCTACATTCTTTTCTCTGTTAATCTGTGTTATGTTTATTGTGCTTCAAAGATATTCTCTTGATGTAGACATAGATTTTAAGAGAGAAGAGAGAAAAGAGAAGAATAGTAAGAGACAGAAAAGGGATGGAAGAAAGAGAAGTATAGAGCGTGTCAGACAACCAACCAGATCTGACTATGTTATGTTTTAATTTTAAGATCATATATGTCTGCAGCACACATTTGTTTCATTTTACATGTCGTAAATTTATAGAAGATATATCAGATATGAAGTTTAGATGTTTAATTGTTGCATTTGTGAGGAATTCAATGAGATAATATGAATTGTATCCTCACATGTCATCAGGAGTTCAAAGCTCTTGCTAAATCAATTGGGAAATTTTAGCTTTATCCTGTGTATTATAGCCCCCTAAACTTTAGTTTCTTTGCTCTTATGTTTCTTACATATCTTGGTAACCTATTTAATTAGGTGTAGTTCTGACTGCAGGTGCTACATCTCCAAGGAAAAGGAAAGGATTCAGAGGCCCTTATTCAGGATTCTATTAGAATACTCGAGGTCAAGAACCACTAGAGTACTTTGTTCACTGTTTGAGCTTTAATATTCTTACTCCCAATTGTTGTTTGACTATATAGGATGGTGGCCAAGGGGAGTCAATAATGTGTGTCAAGAGAATGCGAAATCTTGCTCAGGTTGTGTTTTCTTCCAGGTTGCCAGTTTCACTCTTGTTTCAAATGTAATCATATATGAGGATTGGGTGTATATGTCACGTGAAAGCTTGAATTGTGAGGGAAGTCCTGTTTCTTAGAAGGTTGAACTGAAGGTTATATGTAAAATTGACCGCGTTTCATCAGAACTTAACAATGACATCCTGCATGTCACATAATCCTTCCCTTCCACTGATGCTGAGGGTAAACTTAGATTGAATATCTCATGAAAGCTTGCTATTTTGCAATTTTATTCTAAATTAGTTTTATAACAAGTTAGTCCATCGCCATTTCGGAAATTCTTGGATATAACTGAACCCATTTCCCCATATAAAAGATTCAATTTTTGAAGGCTTGAAATCATTTGCAAATGAGGGTGCCTAGAACATTACCTTGATAAATACCTCTTTTCTATGTTTCAAACCCAATGCTTTGGTCTTAGGCTTCCAAGATTAAGTTCTCTCTTTCTCGTGAAACGCCCTGCTTGTTTATGATACCGGTTAAAGATCATTGGATTTTGATGGAATATTTAGCATTTTTCTAACAACTGTCCTAAAAATCATATAAAGATTTGGTCCTTTATTATATCATTATATGACACTTCATAGAATCTTGAAGCCTTATATAAGTGTGCTTAGAAGAAAAAGAAAGCTTGATTGTGCTTTATTATAAATTATTTTACAAAATCTTCATCGAAAAAATTATTTTACAAAAAACCTTACAACATATTTTGATGTACCTTTTGTGGATTTGTCTTCGTAGGACTCAGATTTTAATATTTGTACCTTTGTGTAGGTTTGTATTAGACTTCTTAATCTTGCACTTACATGTAATTAAGTTCTTGCTTCTCTCTCTCTCTCTCTCTCTCTCTCTCTCTAGATATATATGAAATCCAACCGTCTTGAGGAGGCTGAGAAGGTACAAAGAAAGATTCTGCATATAATGGAATTGACAAAGGTTTGATATTTGATTTTTATCTTTATCTTTTTTACTATATTTATGCAAAAGTTGGTTTATTCCAAACAGATTCTTACGTACCGTTTGGTGCATGCTTAAATATATGCGTTGAGACAGCGAGATGTATGCATATCTTTTTGAGTAAATTACACTTTACACCCTTGAACTATGGGGATCATTTTATTTTTTGCCTAAGCATTGAAATGTTGCAATGTAAACCCTCAAGTTTGTGTTGTGATACAAGTTCAGCCTACCATCCGTTAAATTTGAAGAATTTTGCCTACATGGCATATGTAGGCCCCCCTTTTTGATGATGAAGGTGGCCAAAAAATAAATAAAAACTGAACAAGATGACTGAATATGCTAATGGTAGAAATTGGCCACTTATCTGATTACATTTGTTAAAATGGGAGTTGACTTTGGTGATGACGTCCTAGAATTGTTAAATGTCTTACAGCATGAGGCTTTAGGCTGTTTGGAAATCCTAAGCTCTCGTCAGGCATCAGTGTATGGGAAGCATGTGTTGAATATTTTAGCACTTTCACGAGTCATGTTTTTCCTTATCTTATAGCTTCACTGTCTGTCTTCTTCTATTTTCTTTTTTTGTCGGTATTTTTATTTGGTGTTTCAAGGTGAGGTCGTTGATGTTCACATCTGCTTGCTAGGAATAAGTGCCTTACAGGAAGTTATAAATTTGGGTTGTGCGTCATGTTTGGCTATGTGGAGGAAAGAAATTTATTTGCTAAAGTTGTTTACTCTGTTTGCAAGGTAGGGATGGAATTCATTGGACACGGTAATAACAGCTGAAGGGCTTGCATTGATCCTACAATCGGCTGGGAGCTTAAAGGAAGCTGAAGAGCTTCTTGAAAGGTAAAGAGCATTGTAATTGAAGATCAGAAAGAAGTGATGTTGCATTACTTGTTAGAGAATTTTGTTCACTAATTTCCTTGCAGGTGTCTTGATGCTCGGAAAACCTTACTTCCTCAAGACCATATTCAGGTTAATTGCTTTTGCATTCAGCTCATAAAAATATCCTCAATGCTGTGACAGATATATTTTGATTGCTTATGATTCTTAGGAGCATTCATTATACTTCGTCTTATTTCATTATGAATACATAGAAGCATTTTTATTTTGTATTATGACAAATAATTATTTTTTTGGGCGTAAATCATGACTCTCTACAATACAAGATATTTTTACCTGGCTTTGTTCTCTTTTGCAACAATTAACTGCATCCATACCTCAAGATTTCTTATTATTCCCTATAATAGTTGAAGTTTCATGTTAGACTGACTTTTCAGTTGAAAAAGTAATGAAAAAGGTTTTTAATACTAGGGGCCTTGGGTATATAGCAAATTTACGTATTTAAACCTCTACATATTTACGTATTGACACAAGTTCGTGTCATGTTTGGATAGAAGGAAGAGGGTCGCGATGACAGACAATGCAGAAAATTGTTGCAAGCGGTAGCATAAATGAGAATGACTCATATAGTTGACCAGTTTCTTGGAATAACCTTTAGTTGATTTGATTAAATTTCTGTGTTTATTGAAATGTGAGCTGTCATTCTGTCAAATTTTTGGGGTACTTTTTACCCATAATTCCATTAAAGGAAAATATAGCATACACTTTGCAACGGGCCTGATTTTCTGTGTCAATGGGCAGATTGGTGCAAACATGCTTCACATTGCTAGAGTGGCAATGCTCAATTCCAACCAACTAAAGAAGGTGGACACTTCTAAAGCAATTTGTGAGCTTGAGAAGGCCAGAGATATTTTAAACGAGTCCATAAGGTTTGTTGTATTTTCTCATAAATTTTAAGCAAAAGAGTTTGTAACCATTCAAATGGAATCGAAAATCATGTGCTAATCAATATAATTAGAGTCCTCTGTAATTTACCCTTCAAAACAAAACCTGTCATTTTTTTCTTTCACTGGAATCTCTGATTACGCTAAATTGTTCATTTTTGTTTTATCCTGAATTTCTATGCGACTTGCGAATATTCTCTATGTTATACTAAAGAGAATCTAATACTTTTTGTGCAGTGATGATATTTCCAATTTACTTACTGGTTCCAGATTTGAATTTCTGTTTTAATGCATGCAAACATTCCCACCTCATACGAAACTGCGAGTTTATCGAAGAATAAATAACATGTGTTTGTGGGACTTAAATTGAACTGTTTAGTCATCATATCTTACTAGGTTCTGTGGCATTAGGCTGTTAATATGCTCATGAAGAGGTCAATTTTAATAGGATATTATTAATACCAATTTAGTTTTGCCTTTGGCTGAGGAGAGAATGTTAGCTTGTGAGATGTATGAAGATGTTAATTGGTACTTGGCATGTAGAGTATATTATAGCTTATGTACTTTATACTTTGTATGTTTCACTCTTTCATTCAGTCAATATTGTATCACAAACTAGTTATTGTATGTTTCTATGCATGAAATGTTTTCGAAATATTGAAAATATCACTAGGCTTTGCTATTCCCATTTTGTACGACTTCATCTGTGTAAATGCTTACAGCTTTATTTTCTGTAATAGGATAGCACAGTCTTCTTTAGATAAATCAATGAGGCAAAATAGAAAGATACATAGTTATGGAGCATCAGGTGACATTGGAAAGAATTTTCGTGTGGCATTGGTCATACTGGTCAGTTTTCTTCATCGCAAACAATGTATTCCTCATTGAATGTGGATTTTTCAGTATAATTTTCTCTCTCTCTCTCTCTCTCTCTCTCTCTCTCTCTCTCTACCAAGAAACGTGTTTTTCGTAATTTTATGCATGGATTTCTGAATGCATATCTCTGGTTCTGTTCTGTTAAATCAAGTCAAATGCATTGCTTGTATAAATTTGTAATTTGTATCTCTTATTTCTTTTACATTATTCACTGCTGCTGGTATTACCAGATTTGAGAATCTAAACTAAAATGATGATTGGAATTCATGAAGTATGATCATATTGTAATTTCCTAGAAAAGAAGTATTCAAGAAATAATGCAGTAGGAAATTTAGATATTGTCCTTTCTACACTTTATCATTGGAGAGTGTTAGATTATAAAATAATTACTTTACCAATCATAAAGTAGGAGGATCAGAAATCAGGTAGAGTCCAATAAAAAGTGTTTTTCAGAAATTTCCCCAACTTTATTACATACTCTTCAAATAAAAAGCTATCAAAAATACTTTCTGCTTAAATGCTGAAAAAACAAATTAATTATTACAAACGGGCATAATTCTCTACTTCAAATTTAAAAAAAAAAAACACAAAGCCAATGGATTTAGTGTTATAATTCTCTGACCAAAAAAGAAGTGTTATAATTCAATTAAAGAGTATTCTTTAGCTGTGCTTAAGGAGACTTTGTTCATTACACATCAGCAACATGGATAATAAGTGTTCATTAGGAAAAATGATTTCACTACCATATGCTTATATTTTGTTATTATGTTAATGTTAGGTGCTTCTGAGTGGATTTTATGTATAAGATTGCAGTTATATTTTGTTATTATGTTAATGTTAGCACATATTTTGTTATAAGACATTTTCCACTTTGGGTTTCATGGATATATGTACTTACAGTTGCAAGCGCTTGATGCTCTTGGCCTTTTAGCGATCAATAAGCAAGAGTTACAGGAGTCAAAGGTTAGTATCCAAATCTCTAATGGTCATGAAGAACTAGTGTGTGCTCATCACAAATTTGAAGATGATATGGTCATAAATTGGCTGGTTATGGTACAAATGAGTTGTTGAAAGTAATTGCCCACTAATTATAAACAGCTGATTTAAAGTAATGGCCACAACCATAAGCAGCTGATTTATAAATACATTTTCAAATTACATTTTCCATCAAGATTCAAATTGGATGCTTTCATGTAACTTCTTTTTGAGTACTTGTTGAGGCCTGAGCTGACCTCAAATAACCTCTTCAGATTACAGTTTCTGTTTCTGTTAGGCATTAGCTTTTGCATACAGTATTAATCATCTAAAGATTTAATAATGACCCCAATACTTATTTTCTACAGCTCATTAGTACAGTAAAGAAAAACTGTGATTTGCACTTACTTTTCATCTTATATTCTGCCAATTCAAATTTGCTGACCTATTACTTTGTTTGCATAACGTAGCAGGATGAGTGTTTACCTAACTCCGAAGCTGAGAATGCACTATTAAGATGCATTTCTACTTACAAAGAGGTACCCTTTTCTGAGAGTATCTGATGTGCTTTTTTTTCAGCTCTGAAACAATATTGGTATTATAACTGCTCATAGGCGCTTTTGCAAGAAGCCTTGTTATTAGAAGCACATTGAAATTTTATTAAAAGTCCAAAAGCAGCACATGATTCTCCAAAAAGCATTTTTATGACCCATAAACATTTTTAGTTTTATGTCAAACACTATCAGAACAGAAGCGCTTTTAGCTATTCCAAAAGCAGGTTCAAACAAACCATGTTAGTAACGCAAGAAAGTGTAAAGTAATAGGGTACTAACTAATGGAAAATACTGTGGGAAGTCAGTGGTACACTTCGTGGTTTGCCTTTTAAAATTGTGCCCTATTTCTTCACATTTTTAATGCAAGACTATTGTGATATCGTTTCATCATAAACATCTTAGCCTTAAATTTTTCAATGTTTGATATGCCTTACAATTACAATTGTTTGTTTTGATATTTATTTGTTTATCTATTTGTAGTTTGTAACTGAGATGTCAATTGCCGAGTTTCCTGAAGTAAAGGCAGAGTATCTTAAATGTTTGAAGCATCTTTTGAGCTTAAATGGTAATAGCACTACCCAAACATCACAGCAATCTACCAGAGTCAATTTGCAAGATCTGAGAGATGAAATCAAGCGTCTGGAACTTCAACTCTCTCCTTCTAGGAATCGTAAAATCTAAGCCGCCAGGCTGCCGATTCTTGTCGCAGCAGCAGTTACAGCCCCACATGAATGAAGAAAATCCTCTTTGTAGTTAAGCCAATTAGCACCAGCTATAACTCTCAATCAGTGTTGGTATAAATTCCAGTTTCCGTGTATTTTAGTATTGGCTTTACTTTTGGTTTAAGTTTGATGTATTTCTAATTTATTTTCAGCAATACTAATTCTGATGCAAAACCTATATCCCATTTACCATTGCACCTACTTTTGCTCAAATTCAAAAAAACTTGGAAGTTATGCTTAGTGTTCATGTACTGACAACTCGACCGGTGATTAATACTAAAATTTAGGGTTATTCAAAATTAATGTTAGGAAGATATGTTAAAAATGTAGCGATATTTTGAATCCAAGGATTAAACTCTTCTTAAACCAATCACGTCCCATCACACGTATATTATCGTGACATGCAGGTTTTTCTCATGGCACTTTTCAGCTTGATTTGTCCTCATCGCAAGTGCTACGAAGCCTTATGCGTGACAGGTGGGGGTTTTCTAGCGTCGATGGGACTTTGGAACCACTTTGTTGGTGTTTTGCTCCATTTTGTTTTTTGGTTAAACCTACTGCTTTTAAATTCGAAATATTTCTGTTTGTCCTATTTCCTAACTTAGCACAATTCACTCTTTAATAACATGTACTCCAAGTTTTGGAATTTGGTGGGACTTTGGAATCATTTGGCCGGTGTGTTGCTTCAACTTTTGCATTTTAGGCAAACCAAGTGTTTTTTGTTTTAACCAAAGTTACGATGGGAGAGGGAGGAAACTCACACACAATACTATGAGTGTTTGAACTCATAACTACTTGGAAGCACATCAAGGTCTCTGGGTCAATTCAACTAGCACCTCGTTGGTGCCAACCAAGTACTAATATAGATGGTTTGGATCGTTGAAAAAAAATTCGTAGGGGACCCTAAAATGTGTCCCTTAAATAAAATTATTTGAAGAATCTTTCATTAGAATGAGACTATAAATATATAGGGATCCTTCAAATAATTTTATTTAAGGGACATCCTTTGGGGTCCCCTACGAATTTTTTTTTAAAACGATCCAAACCATCTATTTTTTTAAGTCTACATTCATAAATCATTCTTACAAAAAATTAGATAAATCAGAAACCGTTTCGACATCCAATTGTGTCCTATAAAATCAATGAACAAGGTGCTTTAAAAAAGTACTAAAACTTCAATAACTCAATTGAATGGTCAAATGATATCGGATTCAAGTGATTTTTTGTAGAGATGATCTTTGAATGAGTATCTACAAAATAGACAGTTTGGATTAGTGAAATACAATCTAGGCCTTATAAGGGTGTCCCTCAAATAAACTTATTTAAGGAATCCCTCAATAGAAGCTATATATATGTGTGTGTGCGCTTTTCATTATGATATTATTTAGGATATCAAATATTTAATTGGTCATTGTG